AGGAAATTGCTAACTTAAAAACAACACAAAACTGAAATGCGGTAGCAGCAGCCCCTTTGGGATTCCAAGAACACAGCACCATTCCTCTTGGGGTCCTGGTTCCTTTGACTGCAAAATGCATTAATGTGATTTTGGTTATGAAAGGAAAAGTCCCAGATAAATCAAAGTGGACAGAAGTAGAGATGAAAGAGAACTAAATTGCTCTATATAATGAACCAGAAAAATTTTAGAAGTTTTCTGGAATTCCAGAATTCTGGAAATGCAGGGGGCTCCAGAGAAAAGTAGGAATCTAAAACTTATTATTATTATTTTATAATTTATTGTCAAGTTAGCTAATAACATACAGTGTATATAGTGTGCTCTTGGTTTCGGAAGTAGATTCCCGTGATTCATCGCTTACATACAACACCAAGTGCTCATCCCAACAAGTACCCTCCTCAATGCCCATCACTCATTCCCCCCCCGCCCACATCAACTGTCAGTTTGTTCTCTGTACTGAAGAGTCTCTCATGGTTTGCCTCTCTCTCTGTTTGAAACTATTTTTACACCTTCCCTTCCCCCATGGTCTTCTGTTGATTTTCTCATTGCACACATGAGTGAAAATATTTGATATTTGTCTTCCTCTGACTGACTTATTTCACTTAGCATAATACCCTCCAGTTCCATCCATGTTGTTGCAAATGGCAAGATTTCATTCTTTCTCATCACTGAAGGGTATTTGATCATATATATAAGCCACATCTTCTTTATCCATTCACCAGTTGATGGACATTTGGGCTCTTTCCATAATTTGACTATTGTTGAAAGCACTGCTATAAACATTGGGGTACATATGCCCCTATGAATCAATACTCTTGTATCCTTTAGGTATATTCCAAATAGTGTTATTGCTGGGTCTAGGGTAATTATATTTTTAATATTTTGAGAAGCCTCCACACTGTTTTCCAGAGTGGCTGCACCAATTGGCATTCCCGTCAACGGTGCATGAGGAGAACCTGAAACTTAGAAAAGAGAATAGGGGCACCTGGGTGGCTCAGTGGGTTAAGCATCCATCTCTTGATTTCAGCTCAGGTCATGATCTCACAGTTGATGGCTTTAAACCCCTCCATCAGGGTCTGAGCTGAAAGTGCAGAGGCTGCCTGGGATTCTCTCTCTCCCCCTCTCTCTGCCCCTCTCTCACTCATGTGTGTTGCACTTTCCCTCTCTCTCTCAAAAGAAATAAAATAAACATTAAAAAAGAAGAAAAGAAAAGAGAATGGCCAGGGATTAGGGGGTGGGTTCTAAAATCCCAAGGAAAATGTATATTAAAACCATAAAATTATGCTTATGGTTATGAATTTCTCAGAACTTTTTTCTAAGCAAAGCCCAGCCTGTCAGACAAGCCTCCTAGATGCTGCCTGTGCTGGTAGTTATATTTTCTAGTCCATCTTCTGTAGCACTCTGCAGAACCACTGAAGTTAGGAGTGCTGTTTCCATTCTCACCTAAAACGAGCCCAAATCCTGATCTCTGGTCCTGCTATGAGAGGTAAACTCAAACCCCTATGTTACTGCCTCGGAGTGTCACTACACAGGCTTACTGCCCTGGTTTTCAGATCCTTCTTCATTTTTGGCCTCTGGGATTTTTCTTTTTCTTTTCTTTCTTTTTTTTTTTTTTTTAAGTTTATTTATTTATTTTGAGACAGAGAGACAGAGCATGAGCAGATGAGGGGCACAGACAGAGGGAGAGAGAGAATCCCAGGCAGGCTCTGCACTGTCCACACAGAGCCTGACTCAGGGCTTGAACTCAAGAAACCTGAGATCATGACCTGAACTGAAACCAACAGCCAGATGCTTAACCAACTGAGCTACCCAGGCACCCCTGGCCTCTGGGGTTTTTTGTTACATCTGGGTAAGCTCAGCTATGCAGAGCTATGCACAGTCTATCAGGCTGCATTATATTTTCCATCGTTTCCAAAGACTTTGTAGGACAGCCTACTTAGCCAACGTGTAAAAATGAAGTTGCTCATAAAATGTCTATAATGTAAAAACTCTGCCAAGGATCGGAGCCTTAACTATAGCAGAATCCTGATCCACAACCTCAAACATTTATAGAAAGATGAGTTTACTTTCATCTTGATGACTTAAAACATAAAAGAAGTTACAAAAACAGCAGCATTTTGGTGGGGTGTGGTGTAGAGGGGTGGAAAGAGAATCAATGGGGGGATACTTTCCTCATAGTAGTAGGACATATGGGCTGTCTTGAGCCCTGGTCCCTTTAGTCCGGTCAGCGAACTTACCTCTCTCCTTCTCCATTTGACCGCCTCTCAGCTTGACTCTCCAGAGATGGCTAATGCCATAGAGCTAGTGCACGCTTCAGGGAATTCACTCCAATGAGAACACCAGGAGCAGGCAACTTGACTCTCATCAAGCCAGTTCTGGCTAAAACTCTTGAGGTTCTGGTCAGATAAACCTAGGGGTTTTGTTCTCTATAAGGAGGGATCAAAGGACTCTGGCTCAACCTAACTTTACAACCAATCCTAAAATTGGGGGGAAAAGGCAAATCACTCTAGGGAATCCTCTCAGAAATCCTAAAGAAGCCACAAACCAGGAAACACTGGAATCCTCAATGCCAATCAGATTCATTGTAAAGAATCCAGGATTCTTCTTCACCACCAGCAATCCTCTGATATAAAACTAGTCAGTCATGATATCCACATGCCTATCATCCTTTCCACACCCTCTGGCTCCATCATTCCCTGCCCTACAAAGGATGAGGCAATGCCTCAAATAACATGGTGAACCCTAGAGAGCCCCAATGCACAGATGCATCAATTTTCCCTAGGAATGGATTTTCCTCCAAGTTTACATTCCTACCTTAAAGTACTCACTAGTTCAAATGGCATGTGTCATTAAAGTTGGTAATATGTCTTTTATAAATGGTGATTTAATTTTTTTATTAGTAGAACTAAACCATTTGTCCCTTGCTTTGGATTTTTTAAAAAATTAAAAAGGGATTGCAGTAAGATGTCCCCTCAGGAAAAGACCCTTCTAAAAAAGGATGAGGCATATTGGTGAGGAGTTCAAGAGTTAGTAAAAATATGGAATACTGTATTTAGTCTGAAAATAAAAGAGAATCACTTTCAATTTTAGTTAAAATAGACGCATACAAATTCTCTTATTTTCTGCATATGCCTCCTACTTCTTTCAATTTTCAAACTCTGCTTGAAGGATTAAAAATACAAAGCAAAGCTAATAGACTTACAGTGACTGAGTAACAGAATCAACCAGCAATCAACTCTGTGCCACCCTAAGAGCAGGATGTATTACCAGAATTCACTACTTAATAGTCCAACTCCTCCTTTGTCAATGTCTAAAATAGAGATTTAATTATAATGTAACTTTAGACAAGTGACAGAACATGTCTGGTCCTCAGTTTCTTGATCTGTAAAATGGAGAGAATACAAAAACCTATTGCTTAGGGTCATTGTAAGGTGTAATTGAGTAGTGGTACTGAGTGCTTAACAGCTGTTAGCCCTCTGAAAGATTCATTTCAGTATTACAGTGTGCCAGGGGTCTTCCATTATTGCATTTAATTTATTACCTTGATATCTCCTTCTTCCCTCAGAATAAAAACTTCTGGTTAGCAAAGACCTCTTTAGCTCCATTTAAAAAAAAAAAAAAAAGAATTAAAGAAGTCAACTTCCAAGAAGAGGGTATATTTTATATTTAATGTATTATTTTCAGCAACAGCTTAAAAAATGCAAGGTTTTTAATGGGTCCCTTCCCCTTCTGGCCCCAGTGCTAACAGTGCACAACACCTCTCTGACAGGTTGAGTTGTGTTGGGTAATTCCAAGAGCACCATTACCCGTTCCATTACTATCAGCACTGCGCTAAGGGTGAAGCTTGTCCTGACTTCCCTAGGTTAGAGTCTGTGACTCCATCATTTAAAAATAGACTCAGTAAATGGCATTATTCGAAACCCAAGAAACAACTACAAAGCATTCCGGTAGCTTCTTAAAGCCTGAACATTTGATCTAAATCTCACGTTCCACTTGGTACCAAAAAGGAACCTTTGTGAAATAACCTGCTTTCCCATTACTGTTCATCTCTTTTGATGGTGGGGGGAAAAAATAAAAATTTTAATTGAGCTATCCCTCTCAGCTTTGTGCTAGCTAACATCTGTACATAAGATCAAAACAATTGCAGTACAGAAGAGGCCGACAATCTTGCCTCGCCTATATTTAGAAGAAAATGATATTACCTAGCTTTCCAATCTATTGGGAAGGATAGATGAAAACCCTCCTTGGGAACTATTTCATTGCACAACAATATCTAACATGGTTTATTATTGTCACGAATCTAATTCTTAGTGCTGTTAGCTAAGCCCTTCTCCTTATATTCTGTTCTTAAACCTTACTGAGAGCAAACTAAGAATTGGAGAAACTTAAAAAAAAAACCTACAGTCTACTTGTTAGTACATCTTCATGCCACAGTGATTTGATTAGTGATTTGATAAGTATAGATCACAACCCTGGATTTAATACAGGGTGGCCCACTTTTAAGATGACCCATTCATAACAAAGTTCTCTCTGTTGGAACTGTCAAGAGAGTTAAAAAAAAAAATGCCACCAGTATCAAACACTTTTATTTAACCAGGCATTGCAGAGCAAAGGAATTGCAAATCTAAAGACCTTCATCTTAGCCCAGCCTTACTGAGTGTAAACAAGTCAGTAAGATTTCCCAATTCTCATATTCTGTCACTATAATGAAATTCTTACCTGCCCTCAAACTATCCACAGAGATATCCTAAAGGAGAAGGAACACAAGACAAGCACGGTAGAACACTACAAGCTCGTTGGAGGAAAGGCTCTAAATGTCTTAAGCAAGAAAAATGCACAGATTATCTTTACTGACAGTAAACTATCACAAAGAGGCTACTACAAGCTAAAAAATTCTCGTTGAATTTTTACGAATTTCAAACATAACACTCACCACAGTAGAAAGGGGAAAGATAACCTACCCCATGTTCCCATCCATTAGAAGAATCGTGTTGTAGATGTGAGAAAATATGAAGAGAAACAGAATTGTGCTGAAGAACATTGTCATCCATGACCCATGATCCTCTCGAAACATTTTTAACCGGAGCAACTGACCTGCGATAGAAAACAGTATTAGAAATTCATTGTACATCATAATTCCAAATTCATGCATCTTCACTTTACTTCACTGAATCTCTATTAGCTCCCCATATTCTGAAGACTTTGCCACAGAATTGCCTTATGGATCAAACCACCATGTTAATGTCCTTTCTGGTCTTTTGTAAATAAACGATCATGGACAAAGTCTAAGTCAACACCATATTATCCTGGAGCAAATGACACTAACATGAAAATCGAGTATGGTTTAGAAATAATTCATTATGCTGCCATGAAAACAAGATGAATTAGACCTCTACCATCCGCTATTTTCTATTTCACGAATGTGTTCTTGGTTTCTTGCATGAGAAAATTACTTAAGGCAAATGGTAAAGATAATTGCTTTTTGTCTCGTTACACCCACTCCCAATACTGACCAGTCAACAAAACGAAGGCAGAATTCACGTATACAAAGATCCAGCTGTTGAAGGTACATGAACACTTAAAGGGAAAACTCGAGTTTCTGTCATAAGATACAGACAACATAGCTTTTTTCTTAGCTAAAATATCCACACCTGCATACAGGCCTGTGGGTTGAAGGGGCAAGGGTTGGGGGGGGTGGGGCAGCATGTACATGTGTTATGGAGCTTGGTGTGGCTCCCAGCAAAAGGTTACTTCCACCATGATGCCTAAAATTCCATTTACAAAGATAAATGCTAAAATTAGAATGTTAAAATTCAAATATTTCAAGGAGGGAAAACGTGTTAAGATCAATACTAAAGTAAAAATTATGAAGATCAGAATTAATCCAGAAACGCTTTTCCTTTATGGTAGAGAAGAGAAATGAGACCATTAGTATATCCTGAAAGGTGAGGGAGATGACAAACCATGGGAGTAAGAAAAAATGAATGTAGGTCACCCTGGCTTCTCCTAAGATAAATTTTGTCTAGTATACTCATCTCCATTCCTGAGAAAGTTACCTAAATAACAATAAAGGCAATGATACACCTATAGGAACTACAGTTAAAATAGAGTAGGACTGAAATCTTATAATAGAATTTCTCACTAAAGAAAATATTCCCTTGGAGAGGATGTGGAGAAACAGGAACTCTCATGCATTGTTGGTGGGAATGCAAACTGGTGCAGCCACCCTGGAAAACAGTGTGGAGGTTCCTCAAAAAGTTAAAAATAGATCTACCCTATGACCCAGCAATAGCACTGCTAGGAAGTTACCCAAGGGATACAAGAGTGCTGATGCATAGGGACACTTGTACCCTAATGTTTATAGCAGCACTTTCAACAATAGCCAAATTATGGAAAGAGACTAAATGTCCACCAACTGATGAATGGATAAAGAAATTGTGGTTTATATACACAATGGAATACTACTTGGCAATGAGAAAGAATGAAATATGGCCTTTTGTAGCAATGTGGATAGAACTGGAGAGTGTTAGGCTAAGTGAAATAAGTCATACAGAGAAAGACAGATACCATATGTTTTCATGCTTATTTGGATCCTGAGAAACTT